CGGTTCTCGTTACCAGGCAGGCAAAGCCGACCAGCGCACACACACGCAAAATAGCCCTCACGCCTATACATACATATGCGCTTGTGCACGCATACATGTGCACACATACATGCACCGGCTGTGTGTGCACTGCGACCCCCAAACTGCTCCTCTAATCAGCGTCGCATTCCGCCCTGGCAGTCTTCATTCTTCTATACAGCTTTATTTTTTTTTCCAATTTTTTCCCTCTGTTTTTCGACTTGTACGCCCGCACTTGCCAACAACAACTACAACATAAGCTCAAACACAGCGCATACGAATAATTTACGCTATGCAATGGCAAAAAGCTAAAAATGAGTAAAAGGCTGCTGCAGCAGCAGCAGCGGCAGCAATAATAACACTGCATGCTCACAGGCAACGAGTTGACCTACACTGATGGCTAACAAAACGTGTCGACATATTTGTGTCCGCTGTGACGACTTAATTGTGTTAAAATTACAATATGTGAAGAGTTTACGGGCCCAATAACAGTTTGGACGTACATCACTTAGGAGTATGGCTAATCTGAATATTGATTACCACAACACTCTGATTTTGCATATACACTATTTTTTCACAGCTACTGTTTGTAACCATAACATTACACGCGCCAAAGTAACTTCTCTCTCTCTCTCTCTCCCTATCTCTCTCGCTGTGCCGCCGCCGCCGCGGATTGCATTCATGCGTGCGCGTGTGTATGTGGGCATGTGTGTGGCTCTCGTATGGGACGAATAATACACGACTTGTTTGCATTTACTCTACGCAAATGAGCGGCGTCGGTGTTGTCGCTTTTCTGTTTTCAAGGGTGGGGTGTGCTCTGCTGATGCTGGGAGGGGGATTTCGTGGAGGAGCTGAAGGTGGTGGTGTAGATGCGGAGAGTGGGCGAGCGTGGTGTGTGTTTTGGTCGGCGCCTGTAGATGATCTCCCTCGCCGTCCCTCAAAAACATTTGAGCACATCAACATCATCATCATCATCTCACTCTCACTTGATAATGCTGCTGCTGCGCTGCAGTTTTTCCATTTTGCTATGCTTTGAATGACTAAGAGTCTTGTTGCTACGTCAGTCGTTTGTATGGAGAATGGGAGGACTTCTGACGAGTTGGCAACAACATAAAAATCACAGCACACAAATTCGCATGCTAACTGAGCGTTCGCTCTTGCTCTCGCGCTCTCTCTCTATCCCTCTCTCTCTCTCTCTGACTTCCTCCCGCTTCTGCTATTGTCTGCCCCACTCTCGCGCTTTCGGCTAGTGCTGCTGCTGCTGCTCCCATTGCCATTGTTGTTGTTGCTGTTGCTGTTTGCTGCCGCTGTCAACGAGTGGGGTTACTGACTTTGCAGCAGCCAAGCACAGGGCAGACTGCTACCGTTGCTCTGCCTGTACGTGTGCACGCGCGTATGCATGTATGTGAGTGTGTGCTTATGCATGTATGCACACATACACACGGATGTCAATGTAAGTGCGTGCGCGCAGCGACGTTAGCGGCGAATGCAGTGTGTAAATGGGGAGGAGGATGGACGCAAGGAGCGATAGCAGCAGCGCCTACAACGCACGCTCCGCTTCGTCTGCATTTAATTTGCGGCTCGCATTTTTTGGCTCTGCTTTGGTTTTTCTTTTGCGCAGCGATTGCGTCTCTCCGTCTGTGCGTCTATCTGAGTGCAATTTACACTTTTGCTCTTCGCTTCGCTTTCGTTTGGCGCCAAAACAAGATGCGAAAACAACTACCGTTAAGGTTCAAAGAACTCTCTAGTCTAATTACGACTCATACGACTCATAACAAATTAATATCACACACAATGTGTGCACACATATGCACGTGTACGTGAGTGTGTGTGTAAGCGTGTGCTTCGTCTGCAATTGCTTTGCTTAGAATTTATCATGACTGCATTGAGATCAATCGCACATTCGTAACGAGCGTGAGTGCATTTATATATCATAAATCTGAATATGTCTATAGACAACAACAGCAAAAGCAACAAAGAACCCATGTCAACTGCAGTTGTATAATGACTGTGAATGCTATAACAGTAAAGTATGCCGTGCTGTAAGATACCCTGTATACTCTACATTTGCTTTTACTTAGTTGAAATCAAATGAATATTAATATTCATGGAGTATTCAATACGCGCTGCTTGATTTCTTTGATTCTCTCTACCACGGAGGAAATCTTCCAATCATCCAGTCATCATATTAGGTAATTACAGAGCATAGAAGCGACTTACATTGACAAGCGCAGGTTTTTTGGACTGGCGCCAAGCACAATGAATAGATAATTGTAATAATACACACAGACAAAATCACAATTTGGTCTGTGGTCAAAACATGAAATGAATAGAGCGCACTGTGAGTGACCCACAGCCACAAACAGGCACAGAAGTGGCCAAATAAATAAGCATGCTTTGTATGTACACACACGTATATCATTCCTCAATTATTACGCACATAGAATGGTTTGGGGGGCCACAATGAAATCGTTAAATGCAGGCCAAACATGGGCTCCTCCAGAGGCTTTTTTATTAAAATGCAATACACTCGCTCAGCGTGTGCAAACAGTTAGGGGGCGGGTCAACTCTGTCTGGACGGCAGTGTATCAGAAGCTGGGCTAACGCAAAGCCCAGAATGATTGGCAGACGAGCGGGCTGGGTTGCACTGAACACATTCGAAAAGAAGGCGGCGGAGTGCAGCCGGGCAGGTCACACCAAATAGCCAGTCGGGCGTACGGTAGATTTACTTAAGCACGCATCGGTTGCAGTGCAAAGCAGAGCAAACTCCCGCCCAGGCATGGAAAATCAACAGAGATTGCTGTTCTTACTATGAAAGCTGACCAATAAAACGGAGAAGCTTCTTCATAGCTGATGCAAAACACAATAATAAAGGCAGAGCGAAAGAGAGAGAGAGAGAGAGGGAGACGAAGAGGGAGACGGAGAGAGAATGAGAATGAAAAGCAGTCGCAGCATAAGAAACGCTCTCTCTTTCTCTATCTGGCTCGTTCTCTCTTATGCACCCACACAGCTGCAAGGCGATTGAGCCTGGCAACCAACAGTAATGAAAAGAAAAGTTGTAAAAAGCCAAAGAGAGAAATGAAATAAAAATAAAGCAATCATTGCACTTGTCCCTCACAGCAGCAACAGCAGCAACAGCCGCAGCAGCAGCAGCAACAACGTCTTGCGATAGATCCTGTTGCCATGTTACATTTTCCATCTATATTTTTGTATAACACTTTTTTCACCTTGTTACCGTGCTGATTCACATCGCCCACAATGGGCGTGGCAGTTATTTCCGTCAATTACGCCGACACACACAGCTCAGCGGCGAGTGTGATAGAGCGAGAGAAAGATTGAATGTTTTGAGTGAAGTGAATGATAAACCGATTTGCACAGGTTTTGAGAAAATACGGTAACGCTGCAGTTGTCTAACGAGCAGCTTACGTAAGGTCCATGCACACACACACACACACACACATGCATGCATGCACGTGCAGTGGGAGATATTTACGTACAGCCTGGGAGTATGCAACAGATATTCGTATTTAAATGTGTGAGTGTGTGGTGAAAAAGTTAGATAGGCAGGGATATTCAATGATATCCACTTTATTATATCATATTAATTCAAATGAATTTTAATAATGGCTGCTGTTTAAGTCAGCAAATAGCAACAAATAGTCAATCAAGTAGTTACGCGCCTGTCCTTTCGATTTGTTCTTGAATAACTAGTTTCTTATCGGCACACTGATTACTGGCATTCTGCCTCTATTGAACATATTCTTTTATGTGAAAACCACAATTCGTTTTTCCTCCTTGGTAACTCTGTGCGTCGGCGTCGCCGTCGGCATCGGCATCGACATCGGCGTCGGCGTGTGCAACCGAATAATCTAAATATAAGTCGACCGGCCTCTGTCGACCCACTCTTTACCCGGCAGGTGGGCGGTAGGCGGTGGGCGGTGGTTGGCGTTTCGTCGAAGGTCTGACGCACAAGTTCGTCAAAGTCGAGGCTGCAGCAGCGAAGCACAGTGGGGCTAACTATTCGAATTAAGACATAAATTATTTGAGCTTGCGTTGTTGCTGAAATTATTTACGTTATATAAAATATTAGTCGAAAAACACGATATCATCATAGATATATATATAATTTTATATGAATATATCGAAATCCCTAATATATATATAATATGAAAAGTTAAAAAATATTAGCTAAAATCGAAAATATATTTGAAAATAGATTGAAAATAATTATCGATTATTATTGATTGATTGTGAATATATAAATACATCTATTATCGGTATGTAAAATATATCTTCCTATGCTTAACTGCAAGTCACAAATTTTATATATTTTATACAAAAATACCACCAAATGGTCCATTGTACTTGACGTCGTCCGCAACGTCTGACTGTCTGGCAAGTTGGTTTGTCGAGCTTTTTAGCTGTTTGCTTCTTTTTGTGCGGGGTTGCCAGATGATTTGGACTTTGTATGCAACTGTACTGAGCTGTTGTGCAGATGAGTCTGTGTGTGTGTGTGGGTGTGTGTGTGTACGTGTGTATGGGCGTTTTGATGGGCATTGGTATAAAATGTTTCAAGTATCATTTATACGAGCATTTTATTTTTACTCTTTGCGCGAGAGGAAAAAAACGCCTACTGGGTCCTACGCCAGGATCCCAACCACGCCTGGACGACTGTGTAAATTAAAATGTTTCCGTTGTCGACGTAGCGCGCGCACACACACACACACACAATGACTTGCACACGCATACACCAACATAGGCATAGCAAGTTATACATGTGTATGTATATTTGTATGTATCGCAGCGTATTTTTGGTCAGAGATTGAAATTTATTGACCCGGCAACAGGCGCCAATGGTCGAAGGATGTCAGAGAATTGTCAGGATGTGAATTGCACTAATTATGAAATGGGTTTTCGGCCAGTCGGATGGCTGCCACAGTACTTCACATGATTAATGAACAATTTGTGTTTTCCATTTGCAGACGGTGATGCCAAATGATGTTGCGAATGCTGCGAGCGCCATTGTTGCACAACAATAACAATAATTGCAACAAGAACAGCAATTGCGACAACAACTATTGTATTAGCGAGAGCAATAAGCCGACCAACACTAGCCAATATTAGGAACAAACGCAACGAGACGCCAGCAACAAAAAGAAGCCACACACATGTTGCTGCTACAATTGGAACGACCACAACGAGGAGAGCAACAGCAACTACGATGCTCAGCGCTGCTAATGGAACAGCAGCAACAGCAACACACACCGGAGCAGCAGCAGCAGCAGTTGCCGCTGGCGAAACTTATGTCATAACAAATAAACACCTCCATCAGCAGCAGCAGCAACATTTCGTTGTTGCCGCCAATACAATGGTTATACCAACGACTGCAGCCGCCGGTATACCAACAGCAACAACAACAACAGCAGCAACAACTACAGCAGCAACAGTTGATACACAGCAGCAGCAGCCGCAGCAGCCTCAGCAACAGCAGCAGCAACATGTGTTGTTCCAGCCACAGTTACAGCTGCAGACAGCAGCAGCAGCAACACCTCAGCAGCCCACACAGCCGCGCCAACATCCCAAGAAGCGCAAATTTGATCCAGCTGAGCTGGACAAAGATGAGCAACACCAACAGCAGCAGCAGCAGCAACAACAGCAGCAACAGCAGCAACAGCAACAACAGCAGCAGCAACAGCAACAGCATACGTTGTACAAGCAACAGAAACCCGCCGAGACGAATGGCAACAGCGATGCGCTGTCCAATGGCAATATTGCTGCCGTGCAGCAAAATACGTTAGCTTTGCGCAATATGATTGTCAGTCCACCGTCAGCAATGAATTGTGGAGGTGCTGGTACAGGTGCAGGCGCCGGCAACAGCAATGAGATCAGACAGCAGCAACAACAACAGCAGCAGCAGCAGCAGCAACGTATTATAATCGCCTCACCGCTGCAACATGCGCCCAGTACTTACAAGCAACATGTTGTCGGTAGCAACAGCAACAGCAGCGGCAGCAGCAATAGTCATGCAGCAATCAACCATTCGCGCACACACACGCCCGTCTACTATCAACAGCACCACCAACAGGGGCAACATCGTTTTAGCTTTAACTCACACAATCAGCAACATGTACAGGAACAGCAGCAGCAGCAGCAACAACAGCAGCAGCAGCAACAGCAACAACACGAACCTGTTGCTCTACTTGATCTCAGCGAATGGACTAATACGCGTGTCCTGGCCAAAGTTGGTAAGTGCTATGCACCTGGCAAAATACAGCAAGTGCACGAGGGCACAGCCACGCCCACGACAACGCCCCCCTCAATACTCGTGAAATTCGATGCCTCCGAATTTGGTCAGCAACTGTATCAGGATGTGCTGCAGCAGGGACGCTACAATGTGATACTAGACGCCAGCCCACCCATGGCAGATGTAAGTACTAAACTCACCCACACTCACACACTTCAAGACCAACTGCTAATGCATCCTCCCCGCCTCCCACAGATCACGCTGGACGCCCGGGTCTGTGTGCGCCAAAGTCTCGAGGGACGCACCGTCGACTTCGTCTATGTGGAGGGCATCATTATGGATATCAACCAGGGAACCAAGCAATATACCGTGCAATTGATCAATGAGGAATTGGTAAGAAACCCAAACGATTCACTGATATCAATGGATTATATATATATTATTACATATACGTATATATGCTACATACATACATATATATGCAGTACCTGTATTTTCTATTGTCCTTTCATGGCTCTTCTCTTACAGCCCAATACGAGAGTTGTGCGTCGAGCTGATTTGCGCCTGCTGCTGCCGCCCTGGTGGGATGAGCTGAACGAGCTGGCGCCAGCGGCAACGCCGAGTGTGAGCGGTAAACGCAAATCGGAGCCGGCCACCGGCGGCGTCTATTCCAAGGCCTTTGTGGCAACACGCTACGATGGCAAGCTGCCCACGAGCACGCCCCCAGCTGGTCATGGAGGACTGCAGAAACATGAGTATTATCGAGCGGCTGCAACGTCGCCGTTCCAGGGCGGCGCAGTGCCACCGCCGCCGCTGCCTCTGAGCCATGTGGAGCACCAGCAGGCCAATGGACTGCCCGACATTGTGATCTCGCCGGGCAGCAATGGACAGCAGCAGCAGCACCACCACCACCAACAACTGAAAATGCATGTGCCATCGCCAGCGCAACAGCAGCAGCAGCAGCAACAACAACAACAGCAGCAGCAGCGCGGCTACGACGACTACGACTCCGATGACGAGCTGAAGCGCGTCGGCATCGACTACTCCCCGGCTGCCGGGGACGTGGATGCCGAGAAGATGAGCGCTTGCAGCAAGCGCAGCAGCATGCAGAGTCGAGGCAGCACATCCAGCTTAATCGATCAGAGGCTGACACCACGATCTCATCCAGCAACACCAAGGTAAGCGGGTAATGTTGAGAAGGGCAAAGAGTTTGACTCTTGTACTAAAGAAAGTTTCCTAGAAATGAATTTGTGAATTATTATTTCGATATTTTTATATGTTTCATTTGCATAATATTTCATGCTTATCATGAAGTTAGTTATCTTACTTCTTGGAAGAAACCACTAATATTTATTTTACCACTGAACATTATAAAAGTGCATTTGTAACTTCTTAGTATACAGAGAATATTCTGAATAGTTTCTGACACTCTTTTCATTAACAGTTTTATGAACTCAATAATATTCCTCTATAATATTATTTCAGTATATTTACATTTTATTCAACGATTTGAATTTTTCATAGATAAATATATATTTAATATTCTTTGAATATATCATTTAACGAATGGAGCCACTCTATATTTAATATACTTTTATATATCCATTAACCAATATGATTTTCTATTTACTATACTCTTGAGTCTACTGTGGAAACTGTTATTTCCTTGACTATATTTATTCGCAATCTCTTTATAATCCAGCTTTCGCTTAATTTTCATTAGCTGCAGGGTATTAGCGGCTCTGCACCTGTGCGCACCGCAATCATATTAATCTATAAATAATACTCCCGTTATATTTAGAATTTTTGCCAATGTTCTCTTGAGTTTTGTTATTAAGAGTGGCATGTCTATAAGCGCTGCTGGCGTCGACTGCGCTGTCTGCGGTTGTAGCCCGTTGGCTAAAGTATTTTGAGCATTGCCTTAACGCAATTTTATTAATTACATACAAGCACACATACATATACAAATCTACGGTGTATGTGTGTGGATATCAATGTGTGAGAGTGTATGTACGTGTATTAAGGAGAATATTTTCGTTGACAGATCTCAGGCAACGACGCCGCATCGCTTCAAGAAGGGCGACATTGTGGAATCGGAATCCGGAGTGCGCAAGAAGTACAATGGCAAGCAATGGCGACGTCTCTGCACGCTGTGCATGAAAGAATCTCAGCGGCGCGGCTTTTGTTCCAGACATTTGAATCAGAAGGGCAACAATGCGCTGCCCTCATCAACGGGGCCGGGTCGTTTTCTCAGGTGCGGCTATAAACCTAACAGCTTTACCAGCTCAGCTATTGCTGCTGTTCTCTCCCTCTGTTTCTCTCTATATATTTAACATGACTCTCTCTTTATCTATCTCTACCTCTCTCTCTCTCTTTAGTGATAGCCGTTCGAGCAGCAAAACCCAAAACGATGAGGACAACTCTCGCGATTCGGAAACATCGCCCAACTATCGGGTCACGGGTCGGTATGATCAGGAAGAGACCGATGTGGCCGCCATGTTAGGTACGTGCAACTCACACCTCTTGACTTTTTATGACACCGCTGCGCCGTCGCTGTCGACTCTCCTCCTACTCCGCCTCCTCCTACTACTCATTCGAACTGGAATCATAAAAGCAACACGTTTACATTATTTTGTTCTTTTTGTTGAAATTTATTCATAGTTAGCTCGCATTCATTTTCAAGGCTGGCTTTCCCAGCCTGAGCTGAGTTTCCTTCTCAATGTCCAAATGAGCGCCAGCTTTAGCTGTTAATCTGCCTGTGTTCACGCAATTACCCACACAGCTGCAAAACAGTTAAGATCACTGTGTAGCGCAGCCTCTCGCTGCATCTAGGCTGTTCTCTGGCCTGCTTTCCACGGCTTCTACAGATATGCGTTTAGCTCCGGCACGAGCGACTTTCAAATGCGCTGTAATGCAACTAAAGAATTAATTAAAATTTGAAATAAAATCAACTAAGCAATGGTTGCTCAATTTGATTTGTAAACATTTCTATAGAAATATGTATATATATTAAAATAGATGTTTTTATATAATACACAAAATAATACAAATCCAATATATGATAAATACCTTATATATAAAAGAAAACATTTTAAATTTGTATGTAATTTATAAAAGCAAATTTTTGTTATTAGATATATCTATTATATAGAATATAAAACGTATTCATCATATATCATATTCCAGAATATAAATAATGGAAAAAATGTTTATAACTCAAATTGAGCAAATACTAATGACTAATTGATAGATTTTAAATTTATTTTCTAACTTAAATCACAACAATTTCGATTTACTTTCGAAAGGTATAGAAAACTAAAAATTTGTAAGACCTCAAACTAGTTTGTAGCGCAATGAAGCAGTCGGTGTTGCCTAGACTTTCACATTGTTTCGAATGCATTTCGAATTCTCTATAAAAATGCCTATCATAAAGTTTTATTATGGCAGCGCCGCTGCTGACCATTTCATATACATGCATACGTAAACCCACACACACGCACAGCGCTCTGGACAAAGGTCGTTGGTTTTGTTAAGGTGTTCTCGGGGCCGTGGCTGATCAGGGGTGCTATTGTTTGAGGTGTGCGTGCAGCAACAACAGCAACAGCAATAGCAATAATAATAACAACAACGTTAGCTAGCCACTTGAAAGTGTGACCGCAGCGTGATTTACACGCAAGCGTAAAATGCAGACGCAGCGACGTCGACGCCGACGTGGACAGCAACAGCGACGCGCACGCATTCCAATGCACCTGCATGCGATCGAAGCAGCGACGCGACGTCAGCGTCGCAGCCACTTGAAACGAACAATGCTGCGCAGCCGAAACAAAAGCGCGCTGCGTGCGGATCGCAACAGATTCTTCTTTTCTCGTTATTTGCCCTGCCTTTGATTCGTTTTTACCTAAACAAAAATGCACTTGAGAGAGCGCGCTCACACGCACGCATACACACACACACAYATGTAAACACACGCTCACACGCACGAGAGAGACACACAGACAAGCAGCAGCACCCACACAGTCAAAGCACAGACCGACACAACAGGTAAACAAACATGGACGACAAGAGCGTGAGTGTGAGCGTGATCCCAAAGAGCCCAAAAACCGAGTGAGTGCTTGAGAGCGTAGCCAACGAACACAACTAACGATTGCGAGAGAGAGAGAGAGAGAAAGAGAGCGGCGCTCAGTTTATGCTGCCGCTGGCCGCTCAGTTGAAGTGCTTGCTGGTTGTTCTTTTGACGTCGTCGTCGTCGCCGTCGTCGCATTTTATGTTGAAAACTGTCAAAGGCAAGGCAAGAAGACAGAACGCGGCGCAAAAGCAAAAAATAAAATAAAATAAAATACAAAAAAAAAAAAAAAGAAGAAAAAAGTGAATACCGATGCGAATGCAGCAGACAAAACGAATGTGACAACGACGACAAAAAGTTTTCAAGCAAATTAAATACAGAAAATGAAAATATGTGCCGAAAGTGATGCCAATCAAAGTGTTTGTTCTTAACTGAGCAACGGCAGGCGGCAGTCGCAGTAGACAGGAACAGCAGGAGCACGAGGAGGAGGAGGAGCAGCAGCAGCAGCAGCAGCAGCAGCGAATATGAATGCGTTCCAGGATTTTGAGCTGGGCGCTAAATTATATTTACAGTGCTTATGTAATAATAACTATAAATGAAAACTTTTGTGCTTGCAACAAATGTCTAACAGTTACCCCTCTCCCTTTCCCTGTCTTCCACTCTTTCTATCTCTTTCACTTTGTGCCTTCTACTCTCTCACTCTGCAGTGTCACTGAGCAGCTCGCGCTCTGCAACGCCATCGTATACATCACCCGTGAATCATGCCGGCGCCTCGCCGCTGAACGCCATCGCCCACTCCCCGGTCAACGTGTCTAATCATAGGCAAAATTTCTTTACGCCCATTGCGAATCAGTCGCAACAGCAACAACAGCAACAGCATGTGACAGCAGTTGCTGCTGTGCCGCTGGATAGCAAATGGAAGACAACACCCAGTCCGGTATTGTACAACGCAAACAACAACAACAACAACAATGGCTGGGAGAGCAGTCAACAACCGCCACCGCCACCGCCACAAACGGCGGCCGTTTCGCTGGTAATGCATGCACCGCCGCCACAGCAACAACAGCAACAACAACAACCACCTGCCGCTCATCTCAATGCGCTGCCAGCGCCACCAGCGCCGCCCAGCAGCAGTCTCGGTCATGCGACCAGCGTCATACGCATCTCCAGCAGCCAGCAACAACAACAACAACAACAACAACAGCAGCAGCAACAACAACAACATGTTGTAGTATCCACAGCCGGCCATCAAACGTTTCATCCTGTCATTGTGAATGCTGCCCAACAGTCGCACATTCATTCGCAGAATTCATTGGCTGTTTCCGTTGGGCAGCAGCAACAACCGATACAGCATCAGCAGCAGCAGCAACAGCAACAGCAACAGCAACCACCGCCGCCGCTGCCACCCACATCGGTCGCATTTCATTCACATCCGCCAACCACGCCCACATCCGTAGCAGTGGCTGGGACGACGGCACAGGACAAGTCATTGCCAAAAAACGGTAAGTGCCCAATAGACTCTTAACTAGAACTTGTCGACTGATTAAAGTAGGGCGATACAATTTCGATCGATAAGAAAGTTGTTTTTCCCCTTGTTACCAATATATAATTATCGATTAAATTTCGATATTTGGGATTTTTTTAAATATATGCATATTTACATAAGAAAAATATATATTTTGATGAAATAATAATATTTCATACATAATTTATCTTGGGTTTCCCTAAATGTTTGTGCTAATGTTTTGAGTGAGACTGAGACTAAATGATATAAATTTAATTTATATAATTTATAGCTCAAAAAATAAATAAATT